ATCGCCGAAGGCACAAGGAAGGCAAAAGAGAAAGCTTAAGCGCCGAGCTTGGACCAGAGTGCTAAGGCATCTGCGCCGTTGCGATTGTTACTTCGCACACAAGTGTGCTACTCAAAAACTCTAAACGAGCATCACAGAACCCTGTTATTACCAGCAAGCCAAGAACCTCACGTCACCTGAAGTTGTTGGGAAGAACTTGCACCTCATGTGATAGAGTAACGAGTGGAACCCCCCGTCCCTCAAGCTAACGTTCCCAATTTCCAACAGCACGCTACACAAGAACCGAAGTCAAACCCAAACCAAGGCGTAACTGCTTCTTGCGCAAGGGTCCTCGTCTCCAAAAGCATGCTCCTCATACCTCCGGGTCTCGAGCTTCTCCAATGTGTCTGGAGGTGCTCGGCGCGAAACCTCCAAGTCCACGCCCACACACACAAAGCCCAGGTACGATGACGGTAGCCAATCCACCTGCCTCCGGCACCCAAGCAGAGTAGAACTCCAAGGTGTTCGTAATCAGCCTCACTTCTGTTGAGAATTGAAAGGCCTTTGTCCCCATGAACCTAGAGGACCCTCTGCCATGTGCGATCCAAGCTTCTTGTTGTGCCAATAGACTTCGACAATGCAAGCGAAAGCTAACCTGCACGGACATTCTCGGAACAAGCCCAAGTGAACAAGAGACGTGCTAGGGAGCAGACAGACAGGAACAAACCGCGTACATCTTCAGCCTGGAATACCTCAAGCTTGCACATGCCCCGAGGATCCGTGCCAGCCACGGCACTACACGACAGCACGACAGCGACAACACCAAAAATGTCTCCATGAGGCCAAGCAACAGCTCTGGACTCCTGCTATGCCGGACAGGTGGTTGGACAGTCTCCGTCCACACAAACAAGCTGCCACTAAAACGAGTTGCGTTGCGGCTCCCAGTCTCCTGTCTTCGCAGCTCGGTGAGCGTAGAATATTGAACCAGAAAAGCACCGAACCAACCTCAGATGTACGAAGCATCAGCTACACGACACGCAAACACCGACCTGAAGCTTTGCCAGAGTGCCACGAAGATGTAGATTGGGCCATCTCTTATGAGAAGGTGCACGCAGTACCTCGCTTCCAAGTGTCAAGGGCACGTCTGAACCTACAGGAGAAAGCAAACCTCACTTGCAAGGCGCACGTACGGCAGAACCCGTGTGTCCGCGATTGAACAGTGGCTGCCAGGACACGGAAGTCTAACATGGAAGCCACTTCTCAGACTTTGCCCAACACATCTGCAGCCAGGCCTACTCGTGACAGCACGCACGGCCTGACAAATCGAAAACGAATGCAGAACGATATGAACCAAGCCATGAACATACACCAAGCCACACGAAGAGCGATGCCCGCGCGATGCTGAACCACACAAAGTACACGAATAGGACGCGTGCATTGTACCTCCCGTCAGGTATTTGGATTTCTCTAGCTCACAGAAGTAGGCACCAATAAGTAGATCGCCGCACTTGAGCTGATTCAGCGCGTACTTGCACTCCGGTGGATCATCGTTCTCCTGCAGAAAAGAGCTTCATCTTGGTCGCATGCGAAAGAAATCTTTTCTGGCTTCGTCTCCGACACAAACGGAGACATCTTGCGTCTGATAGAATCCGGCCTCCAGCAATGGATGTACGCTGACGAAGAAGTTTGTGACCCACGCAGCCGCCATGATCACAACCACCTTGCCACAGAACAGCACTGAGTGGCAGAGGGCCATAGCTGGAATCTCTCAGCCAAAACAACCCTCAGATCGTAGCTCAGAGTGCGCGCTTCTGCTGGGACGGTGGAAGCGTGGCTCCGAACGACGACTGTGTCTGAAAGAAGACTTACCAGTAGATGTCGCGGGTGCGTGAGTGCGACTCACGTCACGTCACGTCTCATCCCAAGCTGCTAAACTATCGACACATCCATCATCCCGAAACCTCTTGGTTCATGAAGTGCCAAGCGGCAGTCAACAAGACTTTGAAGCGGGGCGGGTAGTGCACCTAAATGCTGCTGGAGCATCAACAGCAAAGTGAGCTTTCCTAAAGTGTCCGGCCTGTAGCCGTTCCGGGCTGTCGTACATGCAGATGAAAGCAAGGATCCATCGGCAGGCAGATCGCCTCAGCATGCCGTTTCCATTCCACGCTAGCCGAGGCAGCAACTAAGTCGGTCGTCTAAGCAGGAGGCGACGCAGGAGATGAGCCTGCACGAAGAACCGCCCAAACCGCACATCATTCAGATAGCAACAAGCCTGGTCTGGCTGCGGCTGGGCTCGCTCGGTTGGGGACCACGCCCTCAGGGAAACAAGAGCCGATGACTCTTCACAAGAGCGCTTCTGGCCCGCCTCCTCTAAGTTGTTGTCATCACCTCATCGGAAGCAAAAGCTGCAACAGCTCTGCCCAAATCAATAAACTCCGCTCAGACGAAACTATACTAGAACCTTGCTCAAATCAGAGCGGCTGAGGCCGAAGCGACTCATTTGCACGTTGGGCGGCCTTCTGACCTGTCTTGCATAGAAAGGACAAAGACGAAAGGACGTCAGTTCGGCAAACCTGTCGATCTGCCTCGGCCTCCATGGATCTGATTCCAGACCTCTCACAGATGCAAGGCGGTGCCCAATCACCTTGACATGCCATGACCGGCAAAAGGCCTGGTAGGCAAGCAAGTCTGGGCCGCAGCTGCACTAGAAATCAAGCCCAAACGCCGCATGGAAAGGCTTGCAGACTGCACCACGCCACAAAAAGAAGGCGGCAAAGTCTCCAGACTTGTCACGGGGCTCTTTTTCTGCACCAGCTCCACGCAGATCAACCCCTCTCCACTCCAGACTCACTTGTTGAATAAGCACACTTCCTGTAGCTAGTAGAACTGCAAAGATGGCGTATATCAGTCAGCAGTGGTGTGATGTCTTACTGCGACACAATGTATGTTTCACCCGAACACTCGAGACACTTGCGGGTTCAGGCAGCAACTTCTTCTGCGGCAGGCACTGTGTCCTCAGAGACACCGAGGTCAGATCTGCGAGCCTACACTGACGTGACTGCGATCTTTAGCTGTCTTTTCGATGCTGCTGCGCTCCACCTCTTGCCTCTCAGCTCGCAGTTTATGCCTATGCATCATCGACATCCATGACGCGAAAAAACAGCTCCGATACGACCAGAACCTGCACCCATCTCCCTTGTCATCACTCTGTGTCACTCCCGGAGGCAAGGATTGTTGAGTACTTCTGCATGGCAAGCTGAAGAACGTGATAAGCAAGCATCCTAACTCCATGAAATGGCTCGTCCGCAGTATTGTCCCGTGACCAAAGTGGACAAACTCTGCCATCGCAGGGTGCAACATCTGGTCACCACTCATCTTCTGTTGCTCAGGTGCTGTTTGCTGAAACTCGTTGTGGACGACTGTTCGAGCAAAATCGAAGAGCTGTGAGGCCCACTGCTGCAGCAGAAGACGCGATCCGGATGCTCGCAAGGCGCTGATGATATCTTCTTCTTCCACATGATGATTTCTTCGTCCACAGTCGGGTAGCAGCAAACAAACAATGTAATGCTGGAGCTTTACTTTTGGGAACTTGGCCCATTTACCGAGTACACACCTCGGCTGGGCCGGCCTGCTTTTGCAGTGCAAAAGCTGCATGGACCACCAAAAAAATGAATCGCACGGACTGCCGTCTTGAGCATCGAATCTAGGAATCTGGGATTTCTGGGCTGCACCGATGAATGTCCACACCCCGGTGAGGAAGTCTCATCTAGGATTTCTAAGTCATTTATGTGCCTGTGCCTGCCTGTTCTGCTGTGGTGACAGATACGTCACAAGCTGGGCGCCGTGGCATGAGGAAGTTCCCCGCGTGCTTCCAAAATCTTCTGCCGCCTTCGCTGGCGCTTGGACAAAGGAACCTGCAAGCGTGCAAGGTGGCCCCAGGGGCCCGAAGGCCGCGCCAGAAATCGTACTTGATGGGGTGACTACCGCTCTTCCCTGCTCTGCCTCAATCCCATCATCGGTTCCTTGTCGTTTGATGCCGTCCTGCTTGACAAACCCACGCATCAGCAGCCTTGCACGCAGGAGCTAGAGCATGGTCATGCCTGCTGATCTGCATCTGCCATCCTTGGCCACACGGACGCTCCGACAAGCGACGGTGAATGCAGGACAAAACGAGAACACTGTTTCTCAGGCTCGCGCGGCGTATCATTTGCGCCCACATGTTCAGCATTGTCTGTCTCGTTTTTGCTGGCATCCTTGTGTTTCAGGCCACACTTGCAGACTCGGAATAAACTGAGCTGGAAAAGGTGTCCTTGCCGGCAGCATCCTCCTCACACAACAGTGGGGTTTGCCGGTATGTTTTCTGACACACGGCACTCGAAAGACCGAAAGCCACCTCATCCTCTACGATCCTGTACGTGCCATCCTGCAGTCAGTGGCATTCAGACTTCCGTGCCCCATCACTTCTGACGAGCCTTCTCAATGATGACCTCTTCAACATGAGCTGGTGTCTCAGACAAGACCTTCTGCACGTACTTGTCTACCTGAAGAAGGGCCAGCGCCAGTGACTTGGAACGCTTCCAGAGTCAAAAACTTCGAAACCAGGTTCTCTCTTCTGTGTTGCAACGAACTCCTCACTGATCGAGGATCGAGGACTGATGCCTCCGACCCTGCGAATTTGGGTCACGAAGCTCAGGGCTTGTATGGCCCTTTCCAACTTGGCAACTTTTGCTGGCGTTGTTGGGCTTCCGCTCTGCACGTCCGTGAAGCTAGAAACGACTTCATGTGCCGTATTCAACTTACACTTGGAAATCCGAAGCAGGCACTGAGGATGTGCGGATTGGAAGCAAGACGTGCACACGCATACTAAACCTACAGCATGTTCCGTTCTGCACATCAGGCTGCCGACAATCTCGCGCGCTTCGCATCTGCCCAAAACATGTTGCAGCTTAGAACTACCAGACTGCGACACCCTGCAAGAAGCGCACGAGAGTGCAACCCGAAACACTCCGCTCGACAGTTGCGAAGCGGAGCTTGTTGTAGCCAAAGAAGTTCATCGTTCACACACTGAGTATCAGCGAAGTGGACTGAAGCAAGAGCTTGTTGCCGAACTTCTTCTCAGTCTGACTCCTGAGAACGATCGCACGATGGTCCGAACTCGTGATCCAGTATGTCTGAAACCATGTGTACTCTTACAACCATTAGGCTTTCAGCTTTGCCTCGTCAGATTCGGAGTGCTCCGACTCTTCCGACTCGTCATCTCCTGCGAAGGTATAGCGCTGCAGAGGTCTAGGGCATCGACCCTATGTTTACCCATGTGCTCACAACTCCTTCCAGCGAGGCAATGACCCCATCCACAGAAAAGTCTGCAGACACCGGATTGGGGGTGTAGATGTCACCCTGGACGGTCACGCCAGAGGACTCGACCAGAGCCTTGAAGATCCCTTAGCGCGCAGGAGTGGGAGGCTTCCAGAAATGAAAACATGAAAACACTCTGCTATTTTGCTGCCAAGAAACTATTGAGCAAACTGATTGACACAGGCTTCGTCGCTGTCACAAATCTTTCTATTCGATTGTAGGTCCCAGGGATTCGTGTCTTGGTGAGCATGTACAGGGCGGCATCCGAAAAAGTATTGCCTAAGCGCCGGCTACAGTACAGGAGACGCTTGTCCAGCACAGAAACACCCATGAATGTCAAGCAGGCTTCAGTTCTTGTAGAACACATCATAAGAGCCTTCGAGCAGGTTCGCATCAAGAGGTGTTCTCTCAGCTGGGGCCTACAGAACCGGCAGTGAATGCAAGCCTCGTTCGAAGAATTCATGCAGCGCTTCCACCATCGCTCTGCCGTCGAAGTGGCTGTAACCAATAAAGGTGACGACCGTCTTGCTGCCGCCAGGATTCTTGGCTTCGTTGAGGTTGTGGCTGAAAAGAGGAGCGGCTTGTAAGATACCTATCGCATCGAAGAAGTACTCCAGGTTGTCCACAATGACGGAAGTGTGGTAACCAGACATGCCTGCCACACGGATGATCTCCTTGGGCTGACATGTCCATATCCGGTCCAACGACAATTCATTTTGCTACGCTTGCCCAGGTGCCGTAGCTGCCAAGCTTACTTCATGACACGCCCCGTCATCCTTTGCAGAAGGCACAACACGTCACATCTGCTGCCCTCAGGGGTGGCATTTCAGCGATCGCAGGTCCTGCTGGCCCGGCAGGGTTGAACTACTTGCACCCATGGCGCACAGCCCTGCTTGGCACTTCCGACGAACACCACGGTGCATGCTTCTATACTACCGTATCTAGTAGCTGTTCATGCGCAGACCGAGCACAAAGAAATGCCTGAGGATGCGGTGCATACACGAGTCTCTCACTTCTCCTCTACACATCAAGCAGCTGAACATGGCAGGTGGAGAACAAAAGGCGTGCATGCAGTGCATAAACGATGTTCAACAAGTATGAAATGACTGACTCTCTGAGCATCCAACTACAAGGTCGTGCGGCTTCAGAATGTTGCTGCAGACAGGGCAGGTCCACCTGCATCGAGAAGGTGCTGCACCCCGGACTCTTCTGAAACTTGATAGGCCTGTTGTTCAAGGCCCTCATCTTCATGTTCGATTCCAGGTATGCACCCAAGCCGAAGCACTGTAAATGCCTGGCTGATGAGTGTTGGCCCAGCTAGGTGAGTCTGTGTGGACTCTGCGAAGGTATGCTACAGTTCCTGCCAAGCCAGCACTGGCTGTGCCGAGGTCTCTTTCAGCGCAGGAACACGGAGAGCCTAGCATCACGGGGCGCTACTACCCGTGGCTTCACTCTGGGAGCTCCAGGAGGTCAAGCTCCCACGGTGCCTTTGTGTGCCCAAGCAGCCCAAGCAACAAAACGCCTCTGCGTGTGCTGACCCCCCGACCACATCTACCAAGCCGCGACTGTAGATGGTGATGAGAGCAACTAGCACACCCAACAGGATCAGAGATCCCTTGGTGCTGGCAGTCTTGTTCTTTCACATCTTCTGAAATGACGGGAGTGTTGAAAGAACCCTAAACCTGCCCGAGCATATCCAACGAAAAACACCTGTATGCTACATGCGCACAAGCGTCAATCACTGCCCAATCGCTTGGGTAAAGTCCAACTTTGTCTCCAGTAGTGCTGCTGTTTGAAGACACATTCACGGCTGGATGCATCTCAGTCGATGTTGACACAGACACGTTCGTCGAGGCGGCCTGCATGGATGTTGTTGATGTCGTAGTCATAGATGTTTTTGACGTCATGTTCTCGGACCGAGTTATGTTGCCTGCAGGAACGACAACGATGACTCTGCTTGGCCCCTCAGTCGCAACAGTAGTTGTGACCGTGGTAGTTGCGACCGTGGTGGTTGTGAAAGTCACCGTTCCGCCGATGCGATCCTCGCAAACGGACAGTGCTGGGGTTGTCGAGGTGATACCAGTGAACACACATCACACTGCACGAAACTCTTTGCTTGACTTATGCTGGAACTAGAAATACACTAACGCATTGTTACCGCACTGTTATTGCAGAGCAGCAGATGCATCCAGGACCTGAACCAGCCGTGCATCAGCCATTTCCTTGTCGAGAGCCAAGTTTTCCAGCAAATCCAAGCAAGTGCCAGCGCTTCAAAAGGATGAAAGTTTGCTGACACCAAGGATCTCTCAAGATTGAACTCCGAAGCAACTCTTGGATCCTGACCGGGCCCATGCTGCGAACACGCAACGTCCATCACTGTGACTTGCCAACCGACTCATCCAAGGCTCTTTGTAACATTCCCGGTTTGATCTTTCAAAGCCTGCCAAGATTGCGGAACATTGGCACTGGATGGCCACATGTCAAAAGAACAGTAAACTCCCCCTGTGGACTAACCCTAACAGATCGCATTGCGACTGTAGCAAGATGAAAATCAAATGACCACATGATTGCTGTCATAAGTCTATGACATGAAATGTGAGAACGATGTTCCGGTTTCGAAACCTATGCATGTGGTCACGAAAAAACCGCTTCTCAGCCGCCCTTTCTCGTGTGGATGAGCATAAACGACATGGAGAAGCCCACCAGCCAAACAAGGTGAGCGCAGCAAGTCGGTGCATGTTTCAAACTCTTGTCCGGACGCTGCTGCACAGACATACGCAGCACATTTACGTATAATCATTCCAGCGGTTCCGACGCACAACCGGTAAATCCCCCGAGGCCACAGGCCTCCGGCGTCTTGGTAGTTCAACTAAATACCCTCTACCTAATCCTCCTCCTGACCCCGCCCCACCCCCCCCTCTTCTTCACCGCCCGGCCCCCTCCTCGGGCCCCCAATCGGGGCTCCGGAGCTTCTGAGACCTGCTCCATAACCAGAAAATGATAGGGACCAGGTCTTGCGATTTGTCTCTCTGGACGAAAACTTAGCTGTCGTTTTGTCTTTGGAAAACCCGGGGCAGGGCAAAGCAGGAGGAGGGGGATACTCCCTGCACCAAAAAAAATGTGGGGGACACTCCTTGCGATTGAAGGTTTTCAAATGCATCACAGCAGAAAAGATCAAATGATGAGGGGGGGGCAATCCTTGTGACTGAAGGTCAACAGCTAACAGCACCTAAAATGATGATGGGGACACTCCTTACTATTCGAAAGCATCATGGCCGGAAAACATTTTAAACCCAAAAACTGAAAGACAAAGGTTCCCAATTTGTTTCTTTGGGTGAAGGTGCTCTGGAAATAAGCTTTCACTTGCAAGGAGTGCACCTTCATCTTGTCTGGCGATGATGCTCCAAAAAGACCAGTCACAAGCCTCCCCAATGGAGCAGGGCTTAAATCTCAAAATCTTGGGGACCGTGGCTTGCGGTTTGTCCCTCAAGAGGAAAACTTGGAGCCCAAATCTTAAGGACCGGAGTTTGCGACATGTCTCTTTGAAGAACCCGGAGCAGAGCAGGCGGGGGAAGGCAAAGCAGCGCGAGGGCGACACCCCTTGCGCTTCGAGGTTTGCCAGAACATCATCACCAAAACCCAAGAGGGACAATCCTTGCGCCCCAAGGTTTTCTGAAGAATCATCACCAGAAGAGGTGAAAAGATGATGGGGACACTCCTTGCACTTCAAGGTTTTCTATAGCATCATCGCCAAAAAACAAGAGTGGGACAATCCTTGCGATTCAAAGTTTTCTAGAGCATCATCGGCAGACAAGATGAGGGAATCAGGGGTGCGCTCCTTGCAATTGAAAGTTTATTTGCATTTCCACACACTCGCGCACGCGGCCCGTAGGCTCGTCCGAAGGTCAGCATGCATTAATTATGGCTAGTTTTAGCCACATCCGCTAGGTGCGGGCATCGCCAAAGTGGCGGGGTGAAACTCCACTTTGACCAGTCCTAGGCCTACCTGCCTGGCCCTAGACTGGGAGTGGAGTCCACTTCCCGTGAGGGGCTGGGTGTGGCCACCACCACCCGGTGACACGCTGGTGAGGGGACCTCAACCAGCGGGGGAGAGCACCCCTGGGCGTGGTGTCCACTGCCCCTCACGGCGGCCTGAGGCCAAAAAAGCGCGCCGTGGCCTCTTGGGTCATTAAATGACCGCCCATGTGCTCGGCGCTAGGCGCGCTCACATTGCAAGCGAAGCAAAACAGGCAGTCAGATGAGAGGAGAGGAGGGCGAACTACCTCTTCCTCACTCTCTTCTTTGACTGCCCCTGCTGTGGAGGGCCCGGAAGGCCCCTCCGGGGAGCTGGGTCCTGCTCCGGGGACCGGTGGCTCTGGGGGCTCCTCCGGAGTGGAAACCACTTCCGCTGGGCCTCTTGCAACCGTTGCCAAAACTGGTGGCTCGGCCGGCGGCGATGCTGGCGACGGCTCAGCATCTTCCATGGCCGCCTGGATGAACCTCTCATCCTGGCGAAGTTGCAGGCCCAACGGCAGGGAGAGATCCAGTTCGGACCCCGCCACTCGGAGCACTTCAAGGCCTTTGAGCCCCGTGCGTTCCCAGCAGATACGCAGGAGCTTGGCCGCAATCTCACGCGGCGAAATCTTGACACTGATAGACGTTGAGAAGGCCTCGACCTTGCACTCAACCCTAAGGGTAAGCTCCTCATCCCCCGAGGGGGGAGAGGTCCCTGGAGCCGTGGCTTCCGCAGCGCCCACGGGCGCGGCGTCAGCCTGTGGGGTGGCACCCTCTTTCTCCTCAGCCTTGGCGCTGGGAGCTCCACCGTGCTGTCCAGGGGCCGTCTGGATGGAGCTTGTAGCTGCTGAGGTCGGGGGAGTGGGTGCCACGTCCCCCGCCGGCGTAGTGCTTGCAGCCGCGTTGGCAGGTGCCGCCGCACGAGCTGCTCTGGGCAGCGCGGCCCCCTTGTCTTCATCAGAAGACGGAGGCTGTGCCCGGGACTTGCGGGCCGAAGTCTTTCGGACGATCCTACAGGACCAGGCTGTCATGTTATCAGCCGTGGAGATATCCTGGGGCGGGGCATCCCCTTCCCCTTCCTTTCGCGGAGCGGGTGCCGCAGCTCCACCCGCTTGGGGGGGCGGCGAGTCCGTAGACGAAGAGGAAGAGGAGGAGTCGTCCGCGGGGGGCCGGTGCAGCCTGGGTCTGCTTGGGGGCCTTGGCCGGTGGTTCGGTAGGACTTGAGGTAGTGTCCGGAGAGGGTACCTCATCCGGAGCGCCAGCCGCCTGTGCCTCCGCGGCCTGGCCACCTTGGTCCTGAGCCGCCTCTTGCTCCCTGCGGGGTCCCGGAAAAGGAGGTCATCATCCCGGCTGGCCTGGCACAAGGTGAGGCGCTTTGAGGCGCGGCGGCCGAGCTCTGGGCCTGAGCCGCAGGCTGGCCGGCCCTTGGCCTCGCGAACCGCCTTCGAAGAATCTGGCTGCCAGACCCATCTCCACGTCCACTCGTGGTTGCAGTAGTCCCACTCCCACTCCCAGTCC